ACGAGTGAGCTGATTCGCAGTGGGCTGGCCGGCCGGCTGCTTGGCATGTTTTCGTTTCCCGCTCATCGAGATTCACCACCTTTCTTTGTCTGTCCTTTGACCAAAGATTATGACGATTTGTTCCTGCCTGCTCCTCTCTGATTTCATGATCATCTTCGGTCAGTGAGTAAGTTAGTAAAGAACATCGGCTCGGCTCCTTTTCCAACACTGTCTGTCCGAGCAATAAACTCTCGGGAGTATCATTTCCTGCTCAACGGAGTCTGAGTCTAATCTCGGGTTCGTTTCGCTTCCCAAGACAAGTGAGAAATGAATGAATAGACGACGAATGAATCTGTGGCGCAGCGAATCACAGCTGTGGTGTTTGCACAGGCAATTTGGTTCGTTTTCCATCGGCCAAAACGCTGAATCAGCGACTGCAGCCTGACTGCACTGCACTGTGTGAGCTCGAAGGAAATCTTCTACTCACTCGATAGGCCCAAAAACTCCTCTCGCATGTTTGTTATCTGTTTTGCCTTCCTTGCCTTTCGGGAGGAGCATTATCTCCCACACTCATTCTCGGATCCTCAGCAGTCCGAATAGCCAGCCTAACCATTCATGCACATTGCATCGAGACTTACTGTTGAAGTCTAGATTTGTAGATGAGGGGTGGGTTGTTCAGTCAGGCACTCAACAAACATCTGCCCGAAAAAGCTGAAAGTGTGGAGCTACAGTGCTGGAATCGCACACGTGGGGAGCCTTGAGTCATATATAGAAATATGAGGATTATCGACATGTCAACTATGTCACAACTGGAAACTCCGGAACAGTTCCTGTCTGAGCCGCGTATGGACCCTAGACAGACACTGTCACCAGCGTTGGCTTCTGCGCATGCATTCATGAGCTACCTTTGCCCTGCATGGTAAGAATCAACCGAACAGTGTAGGATGGTTCATTCAAGAAAAGGTTTCTCAATTTTGACGAAGCTGACCGGTCGCTTGTGGAATTGATTAATTTAGGATTGGATGTGGGTGGAGAGTAGATTAAACTGATATCATTCCTCGTTCGTGGAGCCGATCAGGATTGAATGAATGAAAAATTGTTCATCGAGGTGAAGATTTGAGAAGGCGTTATCTGTGAGTGCTTTGCTTCCACAAGAGCCTGGAAAGCGTTGACGTACATGGTTAGCTGGTATCTCGAGTGTAGCACGAGGTGTGCGTCGGTTGTGCATGTACAATACTCTTCTGGTTGGCTCGAGAAGCGGAATTGATGTACACCGACAGGGCATGAAGAGCCCTGCTGTTGTGTATATACTTCTTGGCACTGAAATATGGCTCCGTATGATTCTGAAGTATGTCTTTGGTACATGTCTTTGCCTTCAGACCTGATGATCTAGTCCACCCAATTGCAAGTGTTGGGACTGATGTAAAATGAGGGTCACTGAAATCTGAATACAATTATGTATCTCGTTTCTTTGGACTGGAGGAGCTGCACGCATTCAGCTGCATACTTCAGCTCAGGCGTTTGACTCTAGGTTCTGCAAACAAATCCACTTTCCAGATGGGACGCTCGCACCTGCTGTTGTCTTTCCTGGATAGGTCGTACTGATTAGTTTGAATATTACTCGTGCGTACATACGAAACAACCTGATTTTCCAATTTGCTAATCATCACGACTTGTACCTCTAACTTTGCATGTAAGTGAGAACACCAACCAATCTTATAGTATTTAGAATGTGTTTAGAACTTTAAACTGTTGATTTTTTCCCAACACGGATAGTACGCGTCAGTGAAAGAAATGGTTGTGTCTGTAAGGTTCCATAAGGTCGTGTTTGTCGAACGAAGATAAACCACTCTTCTAAGCACGGAATGCCGTATGACCTGTTCAATCATAATGGAATTTCGTGGAAGTCGTCCTCACATTGCGAATAGAGTTGAGGATATTGAGACGTGGGCAGACTCAAAGGTCGAGAGCTAGATTCACCAGACTCAGCTGGCGCTCTCATGGCCTGTGCTCACATTAGATGTGGCTTGGCCACTGATGTTGATAAATGACATCTCAGAAGCGGGCCAATAATAAAGCCAGAAGTGTTGACTAGTATTGTGCACGGTGGGCTGAGCATCACATTGACATTTCATTTATGAGGGGCGTAGCGGCTCTGAAAGCGTATCGAGAGGCCTCGAAATACTCAGCTGGAAATCCTGAAGTCTTTGTTGAAGAAGTCCTCATTATAATCTGGAATCCTTGACTGTTGAGATTTGGACAAGAGATAAGCATCACAACAATCTGATGCAATCAATGAACACCGAGTGGATCACTGGGTTAGACTGAGGGAAAACGTCTGAACTGGACGTTCTGGACCTGCACATTCTGCACCAGTGTTCTGTGCACACAGCCGCTGCTAGGGTACCGTGTGTTGACAGAACCTGAACATTCTGAGCCCAAGCTTTCTGGACAGAAGCCGAGTCTTGAGGTTGGTTCGACAGGAACGTCAGTGTGAGACCTACGTGACATTAATAAGCCTGAGTCCATGAGTGTCCTGGTACTGCAACGGTTGACAGAACGTGGACATTCTGCCAAAAGGCAATGGGCCGTTCACCGAAGCCAAGTTCAGAACTTGACTTCGTAGGTCAAATTTGGTACTCTCAGCCATTGGAGGAATGCTTGCCCCGAACTCTTAACCATCACTACTCGTACTCGAGTGCTGAGTTCTGATGTACACCTCTCGTTCCAGCTTCCGGAAAGGGCTGAGAGTTGAAGTCCAGTTCCTCGCTTTACGACTGTACCTCGAGAGTAGCTCAGACGATCAAGTGATTTCCCGGGGCATCTGTAATTAATGAGCTGCACAGTGTGCTAAGCGCAACATTAATTTGTTCCTTAGATTGGCGCTTTACTTTAATGTTATCATTAGGATGTGCGAGTGTTCTCCCGTCAGACCATCGGCCATGAACTTATGACGGATCCGGTTTTCATAGCTGCATCTTGGGACAGCTGAGCTGTGAAGATGTGACTATATCTTTAAAATGCAATTCCACTTGAATTTGGTGCACATTAATGACTGCCGTGTGTACAAATGAGTCATTGTCTGGAAAAGCCCACAATCTCAAAACTAAGGTCACAGTCATACTTGCTGGTTTGGAGCATCCTCAAAAGACTTCTCGTGTAGTAGTGACCAAAAGCTCACATGTCAACATACGAACCGCTGCAGTAATCGATCGTCACAATGGAGTCTTCCCGATGAAACAGGATGAAGTGCAGTAATTCGGAGTCTTCCCAATGAAACTGGATGAAGTCCTGTAATTCCGGATTATTAGGCTACCGAGCCTGATGATAAGAATTCACGATGCGAATGAACTTTCTGTTCAAGAGATGCAGGCCTTTGTAGTTTACAAAGGTCTCGTGTTCATTGTAGCGAGATAACCACCACACTATTAGCTGGCTGGCTGGCTACAGCTGGAAAGCTAGAATTAGCCACGTTCTTCCTCAAGCGCAGGCGGACAATGTTCTTCACGTTGAATTCAATCAATCCACATGGACAGGGGAGATGCGAAGTTCCAGCCCTGTACACGAAGTCCTTCCTCCACGACCGCGGGGCACGAGCAGGAACGAACATGGCCCGAAACGTTTGAAGCTGGACGGTGGACTTGGCGTTTTCACGAAGGCGTTGCATCAGAGAGTTGAGCGGATGATGTGTCTCGAGCTAGTTTCGAGCTACTGTCCGCTGTGAGAATGGGCGCATGGCGTTTACGTGCGACAACCGTCAACTCCACGGAGACGAAGAAGTCATTAAAGAGCGATGTTCGCATCATGCCCGCATCACCAGCCTTATCCGACAGTATGCCAAGAATGGCATCAACACAAGAATAATCAAACAATTCAAGAGGCCTTGAAATAATGCACCGGCCAATTTCTGTCTGCGACTGGTATTTGGTTGCAATGCTCTCGCTAAGACAGGTTTAGGAGAAATTAAGCATTATCATCGACTAAGCTCGAATCAATTAGCAACTGATGCCATCTCCGCAGATCAGGTCAGAGAATGTATAGACGGCCCTGTGGCAGCAATCTGCTAGCCCGGCGACATAGACTTTCGATCACGGCAAAGCAAAGCACAAACAAACAGCACCAAACCCCACACCCGACCACCACTACTACCACCACCATCACCCGCCTGCCCCATCCCCCGTCTCGTCCCGTCTTCCTGACGAGACAAAATGAAAATCATCATTGAGACCTATACGTACTGTAACTGCTGCGACTAACTCGTGTGACCTCGCGAAGGGAAGTTCATCATCAGTCGCGTCGAGGGCTATAATTTCCATGGGGTGTGGCCTTTTCAAAGCTTGATATGCGGAGAGGGGAGGGGAGGGGAGGGGAGAGTAGATGGATCGAAGCAGGCTGGCGGTATCCCACAACAGCAGCTCGAGCCGGCCCGCGTGCTGGTGCTGGTGCTGCAGCTCTAGCTTAGCTCCGGTACAGATGGAAAGTCCTCTCGCGACAACGGATTCACAGCTACTCCTCCTCCAAGAACAGTAAAATTCTCGCGAGCCCAGCCGAGTCTGGTGACCCGACAAGGGCGTCTCTCCTCGTCTTCGGGGCAGTCGGTGGTGCAAGATGTCAGACGCTTCAGGGCTACACTTGGACACCATGCAAGCGCGTGCTGCGAGCGGGGCGAGCATAGTCCACAAGAGCACATGCTACTGCACAACTGACACCCAGTTCCCACGATGCAGCCGATGATGAACAAGCTCCGCCTCCCTTGCATCAACTATTCCATTCCATCGCCCCGAGAATTCCGTTCCTCCTCACTCTTCACTCCTCCCATCAAAGGTGGAGCAAACCTCCATCTTCTCTCATCACGAGGACATTACAGTACCTTCTCTCACAACAATTCCGCATTCCGTTTCTTCCGTAGATGGAGCGCACATTCTAGTTCAAAAATGGGAGCGATTGAGAAGCGAGGAGACTGAATAGAGAAGGGAATAACATTCAGAAATGAAAATTACGAGCTTGAAATGGACAGAAGTGGAGGATAAGAATCCGAACATGCCGTTATATACAAGATAAGCTCATCAAAAACTCAACAAGAGTAGCAAAATGGCTGCGTCTATGGGCCTGCCTGACTGACGACTGACTGACTGAATGACGACTATGTAAACCGGTAGATGCAACTACAGTACTCGAATTCCTGTAGCACCAAAGACAACTTAAGTTGCTCGTCGCTGCTTCTAAGGATCAAAATTTCTCCACCAGAATTTGCCTATCGCTAGTTCCACAAAATTGGCTCAGACTTGCTTGCAGCTGAACCCTGAACCCCGAACCCCGCGCTGTCGTGCTCGAGAGAGGTGGGAGGAGACACACTGGCCTTTCGAAGCGACCCCACGCACTCTCGTCCACTTGCAAGATGTTGATTCGTGCCTGTGGAAGGGCGGGGAGGGGGAAACCAGTCGGTGGATTTGTTCGGTCAGTCGCTGTCGTCGTCGCTGTCTGCTCCCTCGCAGCCGTCGTCGTCTTCTTCCTCCATGGCCTCGGCACCTTCTTCTTCGTCGTCGTCCTCGTCGTCCTCTATCCGCCTCAGCTCTCCCTCGACGATGGTGTTTCCCAGGGAGAGTTGGGTGGTGCTCTCGAGATCCAAGCAAGTGTTGTCGCCGTCGTAGACGAATCCTACGAGAACCCCTCCGCTGAAAGCCATCCAGCCTCTCTCCCAGCCATCCTCGTCCTCGCCAAGAGACAAGTGGACTCCGAAGGTGTTGGAATCTACATCCCCGAGTGTCCCAGCTGCCGGCGTTTCGGCCAGCAGGTAATTGCGCGGGTGCAATTTGACGCCATTCTTCAAAGCCCTGATCAGAGGCTGGAATCCTTGCTCGTCCAGGAGCATGAACCGAGTGGCCACCAGATTGCTGTAGTAATCCTTGCCGTCGACCATTCTGGCGAATTTGTCGTTCTCATCGATCCCCAGGGTTTGAAGAATGAGCTCCACGTTGGGGCCGTGGTGCAGCGACCAGTCGTACTCATTCACATACACGATCTCGGAATCCTCGTGGTCGTTGTGCTTCGAAATTCCCACGTTCGTCGCTCGCCTGAGGATGTCCACGCCATCAACGTCCTCATGGAAGCACACGAAGCCGATTCGCCTGTCGCCCATGTACGCGGACTCCACCCTCCAGCGACCCTTCTTGGCAGCAGCCTTGAAGCGAAATGCGTGCTGAACGATGTTGCCGGTGCAGCCAATTTCCGCAGGCTTCTCGCTGGTGTCGAGCTTGAGAGAATTAGCGCCCTGGATGACGGTGTTCAATTGGCCCCAGAGCAGCACGCCGCTCCTGCACACGAAGCTCGTGGGCGGTTCGGCCCCCAACACGAGAGCCGCAGGAGGTTCCCCTCCTGCACCATCCAAGCTAGGAATATGCATCGTTCTATGGTTGGAGCTCCGCAATCGATAACTAAACAGCCCCGTTGTAGCGGACTGGGGGTGATGCCTCGCGCACTGGCTGTCAGGACCCAGAAAAATCTGGACCTCCGACGACTCTCGCACCAGTTCTCTCTTCTTCCTCGCTCCCCTCCCTCACCTTTTGCTTCTCCTCTCGCACACACTCTCGCTCTCTTTCTCTCTCTCGCTCTCTCGCCGGGCTGGGCTGGGCTGAGCTTGGGGAGGATGCAGAGGATGTAAGTGGACAGATAACAGAGAGGAAATCCGAGCTGTGCGCTCTCTCGCTCGCTCGCTGGAGCCCAGCTCTGCGGCCACTCGCGCGCTCTTCAGCCTCTGCGTGTCTGGAGATGACTGAGAGAGCAACCCGGACTTTTATGAAGGCTATTAATAGAGGGACGGATCCAAAAGACTTTCTAAAACTCGACGAGGATCGATGCGGGCCTAGTGCTGCTGCTGGTGCTATTGCTATTGCTAGTGCTAGTGCTGGTGCTGGTGCTGCTAGTGCGACGGAGTAGTAGTCGTAGTAGTAGTAGCAGCAGCAGTGGTAGCATAGAAGGAGGCGCCGAGAGGTCCGAGCTGACTATCGTATCGCCGGGCGAGCCAAATCCGAAGGGAATGAACAGAGAAAAACAAACAACCAGACAAACAAACTCTCCCAGTCGAAGCTACTCTCTCGCCACAGATGGCACGCTTCGGAACGATTCCAGCCCAGCCCCAGCACAGCAACGGATGGACGACGATCAGAAACCGCTTCCCACTTCTCTCGCTCGCTCGCTCGCTACAGTCAGTCGGTCAGTAGTCGTCGTCGTCGTCGTCGTCGCGAGGAATGAATCAGTAAAATATTCTCGGGAAATACTGTAAAGCAACTATAGCGCAGACTAGTGCTTCTGCTGCTGCTGCTGGTGGCTAGTGCTAGCCGCTGGCTGCTGGCCTCTTCTCCGTTCGCTGCGGGCTGCGATGCGGGCCAGTGCTGAGATGTCGCCCAAATTTGAGCCTGGACTCTGATTCCTGCAGCTCGGCCGATTCGAATGTTTGAGCTCGACTGTCTGCGAGCGTTGTCCACTTTTCTATCTTCTGCTAGCGTCCAGAGGATGAGAGTGGGGGAGGGAGAGAGTGAAAAGGAGCATTCATTCCCTCGGCAGCCCGTGTGCCGGTCGCCGTCGGTGACTCCAACGGACCGTCGCGTCGTCGCCGTCGGTAAGTACAGCCGTACAGACAAATGAAGGAAATGAATGAGAACGAATGAATGCAGCCGACTTCGTCATTCATTCGCTCAGTCGCACTCGAGCACTCCTCTTTCATGTGAGAGTCTCCTCCCTCGCCCTCCCTCTCTGCCCGTCCCTGACTCTCGTCCCCACCCCTTTCCCTCAACCCATCTCTGCCTCCACCTGCACCTCCTTCCTCCCGAGGGCCAGCTTCCCTTCTCTTCTCTCTTTCTCTCTTTCTCTTTCTCTCGATCGATCGCGGCTGCAGATGCCTCCGCATGCTGCCGTTGGATCGGCAACCTGCGCAAATATATTTCTCTTCATGCAGAAGACATGGCGGGGGGGATGAGGAGGACGACGAGGTGCTGTCGTCGCCGCGAAGGCTGTGGTGACTTCATCGCTCACGAAGTGCCTCCTCGTGCCGCTGCGCCTCCCTCTCCGACTATCTCATTTGCGCCTGAGCTCTAGCCGTCAATCATGAGTGGTGGCGCGTGGAGAGGAGAGGTGAGGAGGTGGGGTGGTGTGGTGTTTGGTCCTGAGTTTGTTAATTACTGAAGGAAGGGGGGAAAGGAAGGAATGATGCCCAACTGCTTTCTTCGTCGTGTATCCCTTGTTTGGACCAAAGCCACGTCTTCTTCTGGTGCTGGAGTCACTTTTTAACTGACTGCGCCACTTGAGACCTGGCCTGGCCTAGCCGCCGGCTTAGTTTGGCAGCGAGCAAATGAATGAGTGCGTGAGTTACTGATCGAGCGAGCGAGCGAGCGAACTTGTCTGTAAAACATAAGTCGACTGGACCTGTCCGTTGCAGAACGATGGGAGGCAAGCTCCTCTGGTTTTAGCGCTCGGGACTCGTAATAGTTTGGCTTTCACCATAGTTAGACCTTCCATGGTTCTCTTAAATTTCGAAGACACGATGTCTAACGAATGAGTTGTCTCCCCCGTGTATTCTCCTGTCATGGGACTCATATCAGCTTTTCTTCCAATGTCCACGAGGGTAGAATTGTGGGAAGGTGTCTGCTTCTGTAAACAGAAGTTTCCTGATGGGCAACGCCAAGAATGGTCGGATCCTGAAAGTGTGGGAGGATTGAATGTAAGGAGGTGTTCCTGACGATCGAAGTGTTAAGCGGGAAGCTCTGAGTGTATATGTCTGTTACAGAAACTGCGTTATCTGCAGTAGTGCTAGATCACGAGTGAGGACATAATAGTGGGCGTTGCCGGTCAACGCAGACATTGGTCCTGGAGTTCTACTGAGAATGTCCAAAAGCATCATCCTACTACCAGCATCGGAGGATGAGATGAGTCTGTGGATGCATGGGAAGGACAATGAGAACTGCACCAAACCAATAATGTCTCTCACAACTTCAAGTCTTGAGTTGGTGGTAGCTCGACTGGAAGCAGATATTTGAAGAAGAGAGCGACTCAACCATTCAGCCCATGACTTCAAGTTTCATGTGACTGACACTTGTAAATACCCCCAAGACACAAATTAATAATTGGCACAGACGTCGAGGGACGAAGAAGAAGCCATGTCCAGAGAGAACAATCAGGCAGAAAGGTACTGGACTTTGCGAGAGTTATACGAGTCGATGATTTGGTAGAGTGCATGCAAAAACACTTCAACAAACCATCTATCCTGTGCCAACCTACTTTCTGACATAAGTTGTGCGCATCGTCCCCTCGACCCTGTAATGGATATTTCCTGGGCTCCATAGCTCGTGCATGCAGGCAGGCCTTGGTTTAGTTGCTGTCTAATGAGTGAGTTCTATCAGTTCCAGAGCAGTACCCATTGGACTATATCTTCGGTGTGCATCTTTGAACCGAGCGCAGGCCTCTTACAACCTGCATACGGTATTTTACAGAGGCTACGTTCAGTCTTCTGGCTCTTGTATCTGAGGAGGCTTCAAAGATGAGAGACCATAGCCTCAGCGATCATTTCTCTAGGGTCGTGATTCCATCGCTTCGCTGGATGTTCCTCTTCTCTATGGCCGACAGCGCTAGGTACATCGTAGGAAATTTACATCCCCGTCGGATACGTTATACTACTTGGGGCAGCTCCTCATGACTACAGGCCGGATCCGAGTGCATGGAGGTAATTGTAGAATAATGATGTTTCTTCATCCCCATCATGCTTCCTCTGAAAGGAATTTACCTCTGAAGCATGACTAGTCACTCTCGCTCCCGGAGCCTCAGTCCTGAATTCTTTCCATTGTTTCTGAGCGGGAAGAGAGCATCTCTGTGAGCTGTATGATGCACTCTACGCCGTAGAGCATATCATGCACAAGAGTGGACGTTACAAGGCTCGAAATTATTAGCTCATCCCAAAAAGGAAAATTTTCGGCTAGATGACAACCCCGGACATGGTAAAACTAACAGGTCACGAATGCAAACACGTTGTCCATATTGCCATAATCCTATGCTAGATTCATGCTGGGAAAATATTTTGAGTCGCAAATGGCAAATGAAGAAAAACCCAGATTTCTGAAGCAGTGAACAAAAGCCTGCATCGGCCGGGAATCGAACCCGGGTCTGTTCCGTGGCAGGGAACTATTCTACCCCTAGACCACCGATGCTTGGTGCCAAATGCGCACTACTTGTATGTATAATTCTTTGCTTCTTTGTTTTTAATACTTATACTGTATTGATATTGTTGTCGAGTCACGTGGGAGTGAATATTGTTTGAGCGGAAAGTCCTGGAGTTTCTTCGAGCTATATTATAAGCTCTCAGATCCTCGTCAGATAATATTTTCCCTTCACAAAAGTCGCTACTGTCTCCCCGAGGAGCTTGGGACTCGAGGCCATGTCCCGCTCAAGGCAAGCGGCGAGTTCGGAGAATATGGCATTATTCAGAAATTATTAGAGTCTGGGAATGACGGTGCCGAGAGCCCATTCACAGACACGATCCGGCGAGCGGGCGATGGCGAGGGCGAGAACGACGAAGCGCGGAGCGCGACCTTTCGGGAGGCATGGAGGAGCGAGCATAATGACGTCCAGCTGCGACGAGGGAGCAGACGAGGAGGGGACCGGGGGGACTGGGGAGGATTTGCTCCACAGCCTCGAATGAATGAGCCAGTGCCCAGGATTTAATCCGCCGTCATTTATCCGCTGGTACCAAAAGTACCTCCAGTCGCGGAGTAAAAGCCACTCGAGGCTATGAATATTTTATTATGGCCCCGCAGCGCGATCCACTCGTTCTCTGCCAAGAAATTGGGATGTGCTGCAGGCGGTCGACGGCCTCGTCCCATGGGGTCGGGTATGGCGCGCCAGCTCGGCACGGCGGTTGAGGAGAGTCGCCCTCTGAGCTCCTGCGCATTTATGGTCCCATTTTTCTTTCCGTGCACAAATCTATTTTCTGCAACGCAAGATTCCGATGCTCTCCGCGAAAGGAATCTCGTTCCGTTCCGACTCGGCCGATGTCGCTCCTCTCAAGGCGCCAGTTGTACTTGAGCACCCCCTCCCGTCCCCTCCCTGCTCGCCTGACACACGGAAGACAGGCCATCGAAGCACTTTTTGCCAAGCTACGAGCCTACACTCTCCACGATCCTTTCGACAGATCATGCCTCGCGTGGAGAGCTACTTGGCCCGGCCGCTTCCAAGTGCTTGCCTTGATACGAACTCTCAGTATTTGCCATGATGCATTCCTCCGACGTGAGCCTGCCATTTGACCGCCTCAGATTTGAAACATTGATGTAATGTGCTCGATTTGTTGCTTACAGAGAAGAGGTAGGATAGCCGTGTGTTGCAACTCATCCCAGCGGACGATCATCGGGGAGACCTTAGAAGAGAACGGGCTGTCAGTTATGTGGATGTTATGAACATCCACATCACGCACGTGTTCTCGACACCCAACAGTGTGGAAAATGCACGAGCTGCGAGTGGGAAGGAATTCAAATAATTTTGTCCGATGAGAAAATTGCTCGTGGATACAATCAACCTTCCTCACGTTCTCACCGTTCCACCGCCATTCAAACCTAGTACCACATGTGTCAACACTTCAATTCATCTCATATTGAAGAGGATTTAATCTTTCGAATTCCCTCCAAGGGCAATTACGGAATAACGAGCGTGATATTCTCAAAATGGTGTGAAACACACATTAAATCTCGGTTTAGAACACTAAAGTTATGGGGACTGGTTTCTCAACATTCAGATTTCCTTGTGTGGGCAGTTCCATCGGCTGAGAAAATGCTTTTGTACGTGAAGGTAAGGACAAACTTCAAGAATGTTTATCGTGCGAAGCACATATTACAGTCGTGAAAATCAGAATAATGGAGAGCACGTAGCCAAACGCCTCAGATCACTAATCTACAATTTTACAGTCATCGTCGCCTCGCGAATGATGGAAAGAACAGTACACGAGACAGGTCCAGGCGCCTGTTCGTGCGCAGAGGGCACCGACGAATTTTCGAACATTCTACGTGCGCTGTGTCCCATCGAGATAAAAACGGAATGTCGTCCTGTGCAGTCGAGAGAATCTCTACGTTTTGTGTGTTTCTGATCTCCTAGGCCGACCATCCTGCTAGCACACCATGGCAAGCGAGGCATCGCCCACTGGGGTTCTGACGTTGAAGGTGAGCATTTGATACATCACAGTAATGGCAAATAATCTACAGCAATACAGAAACATCTGCATGCCCATGGGATGGATTAGGCTCGGGCCCTTTTCTCCTCCACCAACCATTTCGCGAAGCTGCAAAAAGCGTAGTGCTATATCAGTACGAGAAGAAATAAAAGGCTGAGACTCTAGAGCTAAGTGTTCTATGTGGACATGATCATTGTTTCTAGTTTGTATCATTCCTTTTTGCTATATTAATTGGTGCCTCCGTCGGTATTGAAGTTGGATGAATGACACAGATCAATCGGTTCAGGACATCCTGTACGTATCCCATTGAGGTTGGCATGATTCCAGCGAGTTCATAGCAGGACGGTGAAAGGTACTCACCTTTCCAGCGCTTTCTTATTGGATTCAAATCCAGGTACTTCCTCCAGGAGTCCGGAGAGGGCGCCCCGGTACTTGGGCTTTTTCCCGAGTAAGCTGTTAGCCAGATTGACAAGCTTGTTCATGTTCGCAGGCGTCGCATTATCGAGAGCCGCTGTTGTCTCATCGATTTCACCAGTCTGCACATCACGAAGGAGAGTTGTGATTCCCCATTTGACTTCCCAGTCAGCGGACAAGCTCGTTGGCCTCAAGCCTATTTACTTACAGCTAGCCTTTTCTCATGCGGCCAAACGAAAGGTAAGTGGCGTCGCCAGCTGTAAGGAATGTCACTCTTCTGCATGCCATGGCCTAACTAACAGTCAATCCTGCGACGCTCACAAACCGACACTCATGGGACTCACCTCCAGTCTCAAGTAATTCTCCTTTACTCCTTCGATCTGGAAACGTATGGCGACGTCGTAGTCAACAAGGTAGGCACTGCTGTTCTGAAGCATTTGCAGGACGGGTTGCCCAGGTTTGGTGACCCAGTCCACCTGTGACCACTTGTTCATTTCACTGGCTGTGTAGCTGACTGTCCTGGCGCCCGTGCCCAGAGACAAGACCAGCAGATCTTGGTAGCCCTGTCATGACCAACCACGACAACGGAACAGGAGATGAGATCGGCTGGTTTCCAGCGTTTGCACGAGAGCCGCTGTCGGACACTATGCACAAAAGCCTGGACTCGATGGGTATTCAGCTTCAAAATTCTCCGTCTGCGTCATGAGAACGTGACGTGCTCTCCGAGATGCCTGGATGCTAGTTTCGAGGCCTACATCTCTGCAAACCAGGAGGATAATCTATTCATTGCATATGATGTACCTTGAAGTTGGGCATCCGGGATTTGTGAGGCGATTGGCCCAGACTGAGGTCCTTTATTGCGTGCAAAATGGCAACTTCCGTCTGTGGAGAGCAAATAAGAGTGGCAGCCTGATGTCAGTTATTTAACCACTACCAACGAACAACAAGTGCTTCAGATGACAAGTGACTCTTCCCTCCCTTCTAAACCCCCTGCACCAGCATTTGAATCAGGGTCTACCAAAAGTGGCCATGGCCACTGATGACGTCACCACTTACAGGGTTGTTTGCAGTGACTCCTCCGTCCACCAGGTGGTACTCAGCACTGTCCGCGGCTCCAGCCTCGTAAGGCACCTTGAAATTATGGGCAGGAAAGAATGTAGGCGCTGCTGATGTTGCCAAGCACGCGTCTTGCAGTTTTGCGTTGAATTTAGGAATTCGTTGTGCCTGATGGAAGAAATGATCACAGAACCATTCAGTAATTCTTGCCGGGGCTGCTCAAGACTGCTGACGAACCGCGACTGGACTGGACCTGAACTAGCTTGAGATCCACGAATTATTCAAGAGCGAAAAGCAAGTCCAGTAATTAGAAAGTCCAGGTCACGGAGAAAGTGACTTTGGTGAGCTGACTGACCACTTGTCTGTCGAAGAATACAGGTTGTTGAGTTTTCCCGTCAAACGTTGTGAGGAGAACATCGGTCACTGCATCTGCTACTTTCAAATCCTTGAATTCGGTCACCAGAATTTCCTTCAAGTTGTCTTCTTTGTACTTTGGTTCATGACGAGAGATAGAATCGACCAATTGACCGAGGTTCCATCCTCTCCTGCATGCATCATACACCCACCCCTTCATCACTACTTCGATTTCTGAAATTCGAACAAATCTTACTAAGACTTTCGTACGTAACGTGGATGAGCGACAAACACCAATTTCAATCAAACAATCAATCAAGTTTCCAACAAGCTGTCAAATATACTTCTTCTAATCCTTACGGTGAGGAGAATATCTTTGCTGCCTTCTCAAGATAAAATTGCTTCACTTGCGTCGCCGTCATCAGCGGACGTCTTTTCGCATCTGGGGCTGTCAGCATAGCCGCTATAAGACCTCCGGTACTAGTTCCTGCAACGACATCAAAGTAATCTGCAATCCTTGCACCAGGTCCATCAAGTTCCTGCATTCAATCAGTTGACAATGTCAGTTTCGCCCTCCATGATATTTTTTCTTGCAACCATCTCTCCAAATAGAGCATCGCGATATTGTCCATAAGTCCACTCAATAAATGTTTCGAACTCCATAAACGAACACGGTTGACTTGGAAGTAATTGTGAATGCAAATATGTACCACTTTCCACGGGATTCATTACCTGAAGTTGCTTTTCCAAATACTCGAGGCACACTGCTGGAATGACTCCACGCACACCACCTCCATCGATGCTCAGAACTGTGATCCTCTTGCCCGGGACTCCTTTACAATTAGCCCCCGAGGTGGAAGAGCTGGATTGCTGCGACATTGTCTCGACAAAAAAAGTTCCAATCGATAGATATGCTCTTCTCCGCTGCTGGGGCCAGCTGCCACGACTCGATTCTGAAAATTTGCTTTCAGTGAAATTGTTTGTAGATGTTCGCCTCTTGATCGTATGGAGCCCCTTGGAAGACGGAGGCTTAGCTTCTCCCTGTAGAGCAATGCACAAACAAGAAATTCAAACATTTTGTTCGATATGAACTATCTTCATTGTACGCATAGACTATCAGCCCATCTGACAAATCCGCAAGAATTAGCTGACAATGATTACTTTCTTATGTTCTAGACCTCCTCGACTTTGAGCCTGGGCCTAGAACTCCCAAGCGTGCGCATGTTTGGGCATGTCATGGGTTTTGGCATATATAAAGGTGGGTCCTTCGAAGGAGATACATTTCATCCTCGCAGAAGGACCATGACGAAATCAGCAAGTGTGGTCAGCATACAGATAGCTTAAAACTCCTCGCGCTGACGTCAGGAAGATACTCACTCTTTCCTTTCACCGGGCCCTCACAGGCCTGGCCTACCAAATGTCCTTTATTTGAGACCAACACACATTTGGTTACAGAAAGAAGAATCATAAGCAGCTTATTGCTGAAGTCAAGTGGCATGAACTGCAAGCTCTTGCGACTACTGTACTGCTGAACTAAGAAAGGAGAGATGTGATCAAATTCAACAACATTCAAAGCCGCACGAGCGTTTCAAGTATGGAGTGTTGCAAAGCTCAATACAGAAAGATAGCGACACACCTCGATCGATGAAAGCCAGCCAGCAGTTTTCGATCAGCAGATGACGTAGAGCTGCACACTGGGGAGGGGGTCCACGTTGTGAGTGCACACAAGCACATCAGGAACGCCTATATTCCACACAGCACGAACTACTACTGAATACCATGGGGCTCGATCGGCCAAAGTCAGACCCACGGTCTTGCAGAAGCGGGCCATGAGATCGACGGCATGCGGCCGAATCTGGATAACACTCCGGTCCTGTCGAAAAGAGGACCGTGAGTTTGACTCTGGTGCACGTGACTCCGGTCTTCCCTTAGCTATGCTCAATCAGCTTCACTCACTCGTACCTCCAGAGGACACCTAACCTTTTCAACGTGGACGGCGCCGGCACAACACGTGCGTCCGAGCCTACTTCAATCATGATCGTTCCAGAGACTAACATTGCATTGCCAGCATCGTTCGCACTCTTAATTCATAGAGATTTGATCGTATTAGTGCTGCTTAGTGCTAATTATTCGTACTCAAGCAGGAAGAAGGAGACTTACTGACAATGAGCGAAGTCAGTGAGAAAGTCTCCAATTCTGCCACTAGGAGGGTGGGGGCGCAAGTGGCCGATTCAGCTCAATGAGATATGAAGCACGGGGACCCACCCAATCACGAGATAAACAGGACCATATCTTCGAGCTCATCTGCGTGCTGGACGACCTTGTCAGTAGAGAAATGTCCAATTACAGATCATTATATTTTACGGCGGGAGATGAAGCAATGGACGATATAAATCGAGATGCAGACGGACCGAGCATCAGGCTGTCATGTTCAGCAAGGACAAGGAAGCTGAAAAGGAAAAGAGTATGGGGATTCCTACTCAGAAAAAGCTGCGCCACTTGGGCTGCCCATGTGTGCTCCAGAATCGCTTGCAATGGCTCCAGTATCTCAAGAGCCTTCTTATCGTGGTCAAGTCTGCCTCAGTAAGTGCGCACCACCCATTGATCGTCCCGCGGATTAGATGACTCGAGGACGGTGGTGCAGACTTTCGTATCCGCGTACTCTCTACATTCAGCCCCCCATCTCAGAGCTTTGGTCCTTAATTCAAGGAATTTTAAGGTCAGATTTCCCATTCTTTTCCCTTCCCTGCGTGCGCTCTCCACGGCTCAACATGAAAACGAATGTGGGTGTTTGAATTCGACTCCCAAGTTTGCGAACCTGGCTTCGAATCCTCTCACAGTATTCTTTGAGCCTGCGCTTCTCTTCCATCGCGTCGAAGTCGGCCGTTCGATCCATCGACCCCGTTCATGATATCGATGTGGGAGATCAAAGATGCAGAGGCAGACAGTTCGATGACCAGATGAGCAGATGAAGGGTGGTCAGTAACCAAGCTGAAACACCTGAAAGCTATCATCCATTTGACTTCGGTGGTGGTCCGGGCGATGATGCTGGCTTACAGCATACAGTAGATCGAGGGGGGAGTCCTTCACTGGGTTGAATGCGCCCACTGCCGCCAATTTCGAGCCGCCGTCATATCTGTGCTCGTACCCAAGTACCTTCATTTCCGAGAAAGGTACTTTTGTGGAGCTGAGTATATTTTATTGATCCACTCGTTCACTGTCAAGGAAACTGGATCTGCTGGAGATCCGGTACTCGACCCCATGGTCACGGTCATAGTGTGCCAGGTTGGCAGTGCGGTTAAACATTGCTGGGCTCTGCTCCCAGCGTCATCAATGTCCTCCACTCTTACGTACCGAGCGCTGAACTCTATTTTCTGATTGTGCGGATCAAGGCTCTGGATCTCTTCACGAAGAGAATCTCTCTCGCTCCTTTCGCTGTGCCCGGCTCATGGCGAGGAGGTGTTCATGGTGCGCCCTGCCGTCAGAATTACCTCATCACTCCCCTGGACCTCATTCTCTCTTCCCATGCAGTGTATGTAGGCCATGGATTCTCTTCTCTTCAGCTCAGAGACTAAATCTAGCGAAACTTCAACAGATGCTGCTTGTACACGAAAGTATTTTTCTATTGCCTCATAGCCCGAGCTGACACCATTTCTTCGAGGACCGCAGTCGCCGAAGGCCTCAGAAAATCTCTTGCTGCACTGTCCCTTCCCGTAACGGTCACCTAGAGTCCTTACAATGTGGGAAGTAGCTGTGGCTGCGTCTGGTGTCTGTGAGCCCGTCGAGGATCGGGCTATGGACTGGTTATATCCTCAGCTGCACGCCCCATCAGCCTGCTGCCAGTTCAATCTGTACTGTAACGAGAGTATTGTGCAATAACCGGAGGCTACCGTGCTTGCAGTTCGGATTATGGTGATGGTGATAGTGATGAGCACGGCAGTGGAGCCAGATGATAGCTGAAGGCTGGTGGCAAATATGGTCTCGTTCGTTTGCTACATTTGTTGTAGTGGGGGAAACAGACTGTGAGAGTGTGAACCTAGAGGAAGGTTCGGTCTGAATATGCAGCCTTGCACGATGGACTTCAGCTCTGGATGTTGTTCTGAGGATCAGACATCGGAATCAAGGTCACGTATGCTCAGCACAGAAGACGGGATGCGTGTATTCTGGGCTTAGGTGGAATTACTGTATTTCACGATCGTTACCACTCCGTTGTGCTGATACCAATCACAACAACCTGAATCACAGATGATCTGGGAGGTTGTTACTGGAAAGTCGTTAGGGGCGTTGCGTCGTGCGCTATGCTTCTCTGGCAGACACCACATTTCTGTCAGTACCTCAGTTCATTCTGTCTGGTATGAAGCCTAACCCGCACCCTTTACGTTGAACTTCTACAAACACTTTTGCAAATTAGAATAGACTGAACTATCTTGTGGTGCTTTTGTGGCAGAGCCCAACATTGGGTGCCCATGCCCAAACCCACCCACGCCCATGGGTTTTTTACATATTTTTCCATTGGTGGGCACAAGTAATGCTAAGGGCAGCGTTTGTCAAAACCCAACCAAGAATTTTTGTAATTTGAATAGCATGGGTAGGCACAGGTAATGCCATGGTTGGGGTTAGGTCGCTGTTGATGGTTATGGTCTGGTCTGGGTGCAGAATTGAAGTAAAATGTTGGTCTCTGCTTCGTGGATATTTCGTTTTTTTCAGTTCAGTGTATATCCTAATCAAACATATTAACATTTATAGTCCGTTGGTGATGTTAGAGTAGCATATGCATAAGTTAAAATAATGTTTGATATATAAGTGAAAGAGATACGCACAGTTTCGCGGAAAACTGTAACTGTGTGTGCACTTAAACACATCTTTTGTGGTATAAGAGCACTTTGGAGGAGGAAATGAATGTTCTAGTACTAGTAAAACACTTTAATACAAACTTTTCATACCTAATCCTTCTGAGATAGTTAATGCTCAATTTTCTTATATCAACAAAAATAAATACTTATGATCCTTTAAATAAATGTCTCGCCCGTTAAGCTCCTGAATAAACCAGACTTCAACACTTGTTTCAACAAATACAATTTCTTAATTTTCTGAGCGAGAATATATGGTGGGTGAAATTTAGTTATGAATTAAAAAATCCAAACTATTATTGAGTTATCTTAAAGAATAAAAATAGTGGTGTCAAAGTGAGCTAAATGATACCTACTACTTATCCAAACTATAAAATAAATTACATAATATAACATGATACACATTTATTGCCCTCATAGGAATGCTACATAATTTATACATGTACAGCATAGGAGCTTCTTTAGATAAAATTGTTTTCCAAGTGACAGTCTACATGACAATAATCACCATGTTGAGGAATCAAGCTTATTGGAAATACAATCAATAATCACATCCAGATGCATCAAAAGTTATAGGGTTTTAACCCCCTATAACCAGGGGTTAAACTTTGTGATGATGAAAGAGATCATAATTCAAGACTGGGAAAGAGTTATTATTTGCTGCTTTGGGCAGCATCCTTGGGTTATTTCATTCCGTATGTTTCGTAATTATTTAATCAGTTTATCACCAGCAGAAGAAATGTGAACCTCTTATAATATAATAAAATTTTCCACTTGGAATAATTAATTTTTGTTAGTTTTTTTGATAAATTATTATTGGATCTGTTACTAAGTAATTTTATAAAATCAAATAATTATGTAACTTGCAATATATGTAACCTTTCATTCATGCTAGTATCTACATGTTGTCTATCGAGGATTTTTAATGAAAGTAATTTAGAGAAACAGTTTGGATTTTCGAAAATTAAACTCTTTATATTGAAGTGAAAATTTATTGAATAATTTATGTGCTTGCATCATTATCACAATCAAAATTTAAAGAAATGAAATAAGGATGAAAACCAATCTTTTTAGAATATTTCTAAATCAACGTTTTATATCATTATTTTTTACAAAATTTTGTTCCAAAACACTAAAATCAAAGAATTATATATAATTTTCGATTGAAACAATATCAATCAAAAAATATATTTAGTTGAAGTGTTGCATTTTATATGTTCAATTTGACTTAAAAATTTTGATTTAAACTAGGATTATTTTCAAGAAGAAAATTAGAGCAAAAAAGTTACAAGTCTAAAATTTAATTTGAAAACTTAAAATGACAAGACAATTGAACTAAATTTAATCTGAGTTCAAGAATCAAATATTTGTAAGAAGAAGAGTTTAAGCATATTAGCACTTCATTGCAAAATAGATTATTTAGTAGTAAATTCAAATTGAGAAAGCTTTTAAAATCCTTTTGTAATTTAAATTTTTTTTCACACAATTATCATTTCCAAATATTACTATATGTTTAAAACCATAGAGATTCATCTCTTGTGATTTCAGTCAAGAGAGAGGAAATTGTAATTATTATGTTCATGTAACATTCAACATAAGAAAAGTTTTGTGTAAACATCACTTTATTATGCTGTTTGTTTGTAGATTTAAATGTTACAGTATAGTGCAGATGTGACTAACTTTTCAAATCTACATTGAAAGCAATAAGCTTTTAGTGTATAAGTATTATTTATAATCAGATGAGGAAAAATGTTATCATCATGATGACGTCTTCTTTTACCATTTAAGAGAGCATAATATGAATCGTGACTCTCGGGTTTGATTTTCTATTGACTTTATTCGTCCCTTCGTTGTACGGTTTTCATGTGTT